CTTTAGTAATGTTTCATAATTTTCTGTGTACAAGTCTTTTATCTTCCTGGTTAGATACATTCCCAGGTAAGTCATTCTTTTCGATGCTGTTTTAAGCAGTACTGTACCTTTTAAACCACATGCTCCTGGCTGATGTGTAGAAACCCCGCTGATTCTTGCGTGTGGACCTCGGACCCTGCCGCCTTGCTGAATCCCTGTCTTGGTTCTGTAACTTTCTTGTTGTTGGCAGTATCTTGGCTGCTGTCGGCAGTCTTGTTTCCTGGGGACTTGCTCTGTTGATTACTGAAAGCGGGGTTCTGGAACCTCCACCCACATTTCTTTGCCTCTCCGTTCAGTTCTGTTGGGCTTTGCTGTTTGCATTTCGATGGGCACAGATTTAGGATTATTGTATCTTTCAGATGCATTGACTTATCACATTAAATGTCCTTGTTTATCCCTAACAGCAATAATTCATTGACCTATAAAAAAGCCTCATTGTCTCAACTGAGGGGCCCTGCCCATCCTTGAGCAGTGGTTCGTGGTATGCAGCCCCTCGTCCGCTCATTTGTAGCCTGTCTGTGTGTTTATGTCTGAAGTAGACTTCTTGTAGGAAACATAGACGTGTGGGTGTTACTTTCCGTTGTGTGTTTGGGTTTTGGTGTTCTGCTTTGCTAGTCTCTCTCAGGCATATCGGTGATGGTTGCGAACCTTGCATGAGATCACTGTTGGCTTATCCCATCCTCTCTGTCATTTCTGTCTCCATTTCTACTGAACACGTTTTCTTCTGGTTGTGGCGTTTTTGTCTGCTTCTTTGCAGGCCTGATAGTTTTTGATTGGCTGTTGGACACTGTGAATTTCACACTGTGGAGTGCTAGGTTTGGCTTTGTTCTCCACAAAGGGTTGGCTTTTTCTGGCCCAGAGTTAAGATCTGTCCACGCCTTGCTTTCAAGCTGTGACGGGGCTATTTCTCTAAACTGCCAAGTACTCACAGTATCTGTTGCTTCACCAAATGGTTTCAGGTATTGAAAAATTGACTGTGTCATTCTTTTTTTTTTTTTTTTGGACAAAGCAAAGACATTATATATAATTATTAAAACAAGAATGATCCTGTGATTATTTCTAAATGGTTTTAGGTATTGAAGAAAATGACTGCCAATCTCCCTCCCTCTTTCTCTTGCTCTCTTTTTTTAATGGTGTTTGACAGTGTAGGGACATTATCTCATGTCATTACTGAAACAGGAGTGATCAGTTGATTATTGAAAATGCCATTTTAGATAAACCATAGCAGTTTGTGTGTATTTAGAAGTTATTTTCCTAGTCAGAGTCCCTGTGTGGTAGAAAGTGTAAATGCCTTGCATGCTGTCTAAAAACTTGGAGGTCTGAGGCCCCCCAGAAACCCACTGCTATTGACTCAATTCCCACCCACAGCGCCCCTAGAGGACAGAGTGGAACCGCCCCACAGGGTCTCCAAGGCTGTCAATCAACAGAAGCAAAGCCCAAACCACACCCACTGCTGTCAAGTCAATTCCGACTCACAGCGCCCTTAGAGGACAGAGTGGAACTGCCCCATTGGGTTTATGAAGCTGAAAATATTTATGGAAGCAGACTGTCCAGTCTTTGTCTGATGGAGCAGCTGGCTGGTGGGTCCATACTGCCAGTATTTCAGTTCCCAGCTGAGTGCTTAACCGTTGTGCCACCAGAGCTCCTTCCGAGTCTACCCAGAGGTGCCTCTAAAGACAGGCCTGGCAGTCTCCTTCCAAACAACCAGCCGTGGAGAGATCCCGGTGGAACGCAGTTTCTGACATGTGAGGATGCTGGGATTCGGGAATTGGCCTGACCACCACTGCTCGGGCTTGGTGTCCTCCTTGGTGTAGGTGAAGAATGAAGGGTGTGTCACACTTCAGATACCCGGCTCTTGACTGGCTCTGGGAGTCACCCTGATAACCTGTGTGTCTGCTGTTAGGGATGTTCACAGTTGATGAGAATGTGAGACCGTTCCTGTCACATGGTACGTTTGTGCTACATTCCACTGTGGCTCAGCACCCTCAAGCAAGATTGAGGATCATTCCCAATCCCGTCCCAAGTGGTGCTCGGCCCTCCCGTCTGCCTTGGTCCCCAGCATCTGATGGGGCTGTTTGCTCATTCCCTCTCCTCAGCTGTCTGAGGAGTGACTGCAGAGCCTTCCTCACCACCATGGGAGCACTGGCTCCCTGGTAAAGGCCCCCTGCCCGCTGGCTTCCTCTTCCCACCCCCCAGCATGACAAAGCAGCATGGCTTCCTATAGAGTCACCTTGCATTTCTGTGGCAGGTGCTCGGGCTAACCTGTGCTCGCCTTTATAGAGTGTTCTCATTTCTTTTATTTGGGAGTAGGGCCATTTCAGGGCTGATAACAGTCTGTCTCAGACCGACTAGCTCCTTGGCAGAGCTGGCAGAAGAGCCCTGTGTCACACGGCCACAGCTCGTGTTCCTGAATGCCCTGCTCTCAGGTCCTCCCCCTCCCCCTCCCTCCAGGTGTTGTCAGGTCCTCACCCTCTCCCCCCTCCAGGTGTTGTCGGGTCCTCACCCTCTCCCTCCAGGTGTTGTCGGGTCCTCACCCTCTCCCCCCTCCAGGTGTTGT